CAGTGTTGTATATCTTAATTATATTATAAGCCCCATTGAGTGCCATTTTCTTCATTAAAAAAGTGGATTACAATCAAATAATTCTGATATATCTGTAATATAGCACTCCCATATGTATTCAGCATTTATTTAGTCATACTTTTTGTGGATCATTCACTGGTCTTAGTTACAGCATTTTTACACTGCTCTTCAGCCAATAAACACTCCCAGAGTAGCTTGCAAAAATAATCAGAAAGTTCCTTTCTTTAGGCCTACAGTCTAAAAGACACAACACAAAAGGGAAAAGGAATGTGACGAAGGAGTGGGGGAAAGTGAAACTCAGCACCAGTTTTTAGTTTCAAAGTCCTTACAAGTATTCTTTCTAGCAGGAAGGGCAAAACAAGTTCCCTGTAGCTGATCCTTCTCTGGCGTGTGTTTGGGGTTTTGTTGTGATATGTTTTTCCTGGGAGGTGGAGGGTGCAGCCCTTGGTGTTCTGGCTGATGGATGAGTCTGCAGTTCCAGAAAACTTAGCTGGAGCTGTTTGTGCACAACGTACAAAGAATATATACATAAGAGAAAAGGGTGTGGTGTGGTTTGGTTTGCTGTTTCCAAAGCAATATTTGTGAAGTTGTCTTTAGAAAGTAACTTAATAATAAAGACTTTTAAAGCAACTATTTTATTAATGTAAATATAAATCGTTACAGTGACTTACAAATACACAAACTATCAGCACATTTTTCATCAACAACTTGGTTAAACAACCCCAGGTCTTTCTTCTCCCCCCACCCCCACCACCTCGTTCATTCTGAGACTTCTGCAGGCCAACTGATAAGACTTCCTCCTGTGCAGGTTGGCGCAATGTAATGAAATTGGACGTTCGTGCTAGGCCTTGTAAATAGAATGAGATTGACCCTCGGCCATTATCTCATTTATCTTATTTACATTGTAAAATCAGGATCTTCAGTATTGATTAAAGCATAATTAACTAATTATGAACAGGAAAATACAGAGTTATGTAGAGTTTGAACACAGCAAGCTGAACTACTGAAAGATTTCCAAGGGCATGAGCAGATGGAGATCACTTTATTAAAGAACAAACCAGACGTGTTTCAGGTATGGAAGTATCTAATCAACTTCTCTTGCTGTGCCAAGATACTTGACCTTAATTCTGTATTTTCATTGTGAAAAAAAATTGTAAGCTCCAATATTTTTAATATATATATTTAACTTCCCATTCTGGTTGTGACAAAAATAGCCAAGATTTCTCAGCATTTTTCCTTTCTTTTTTTATTTGCCATTTAAAACTAGAACTATACTTTGTTGGTTAACTTGGCCTGGATGGAAGATTTAATTTTGATTTGTAGTGGTATGGTATGTTCCTATGTTAACTGTCACTCAGCCACATACGGGCTCAGTTCACATTCAGTGACCTGAGTCTTTATCTTTTTATCGTACCTAAATCATGTGCCTTTCATCCATGATGCAGTTAGTGTTAAATACAAACTAGGAATTTTGGATTTCTCTTCCCTGGCAAGCCAAAGAAAGAACCCACAATTTGATTCTGTATTCTTTGATTTATCAGTGGAGAAAGAAGCAGGAATTCCTAATTAGCAAGTAATGCCAAAAAATTCCCAGGCAGTAGATCTGCTTAGCTATTCCTGTTTGCAGCAGGAACAATTGCATGCTACCTTACACATGATAATCCAGATATATCTGTGTTATCTTTATATTGGAACTGAGCTATTTTGTTTTAATTTTTGAACTTTTTTTGGAATTGTATGAATTTATTCTTCATTTTTTATGACAAGAAACACAGCTTAAATTTAGCAGCCTGATTTTAGCACTTACTTTTATTAGCAAATGTGCTTTGGATAAGGAATGCCACTTGCTCAATCAGTCTAGTTTCAGTATCGGAAACAGGTTATCCTGCCTAACCTTGTGGTGAACATGATCAGAGAAGGATTTGAACTTATCTGCGAGAAACAAAATTGCCTAGTTTAGACATTTATGATCAGAACCTTTGGTGTGCATTCCCCTCAGCCATGTAGGTCATGTCATGACATAGAGTTACTACAGTTGTCATTTGTACACGTCTTCATCCAACAAGCAGGATGACACCTTTTTTTTAACTTGCTGTATTGGTTGTTTCAACCACAAAGATCCAGTAATAGCAGAAAAGGTAGGGTATCTCTAAATGAAATCCAGAAGTATGACACCCAATTTCTCCTAGTTTTAGCTGAATAGAGCTGCCCCTCCAGTCTAGAGCCTTCAAAACAATAATTAACACAGTGTGGCCTCTCTGATCCTATGTAAAGCAAACACTATCAATTGCATAAATGATTGACATGGCTTGTTTTAGAGCACAGTTATTGTGAGATGGTGGAAAGGGGATTAATTCATACACTGACTTTATATTCCCTCTAACAATTAGTGCTGGACAATGTAGAAGCTCAGAGTGGCTTGGGGAATAGGTTTAATCTTTTGATAAATACTGTGATTTCTGTCTACAAAAAAGTTTCTGATTCTGATATATACTAGAAATTAAATTGCATTATTCCAGTATTAGAAGTCCTGTTTTACGGCATAGAAGGGAGTAGGTGGAAGGAGCATGAAGGCACAACATTTATGGTTTATTAGACTGCAGTGGTTAAGTGTGAACCACACCTATGAAGGCTGAAGGTAGTATGATAGAGACATTATTTTGAGGACAAAGGGTTTCAGTGTGTTTGGGGGGCTTCAAAAACTGGTCTGACCAGAGACAGTGAGAAAAGAAAATATGCATTTTCACTACATTGGGGTCCAGGTGTGTGTGGGGGGATAACATTCCTGGTATCTGTTCCCAATCTCTTTATCTCTACTTGCTTTTTGTTTGCTTTAAATGTGTTCTACAGCTTATAAAAAGGAGCAAGTTGGCACTACATTGGGAAATACAAAAATGGAACCTGAAAACAGACTAATAATTTTAATAAGTTGAAAAACTGGCTTCAGTGGTTTTGAAATCTTCAACTTGATATAGATCAAGTATCCTGAGATTTTTGATTCAGAAATTTCCTGAAGACTATTAAGCTAAGAATGCATTTGATTTATAAGTGCCTTTTCAAAGCTTGATTATATGCAGTGATTCATTTTCCTACATTGTTCTGTACTTTTGCATGTACTGTTGAAATAATGTAGATTACTTTGAATATTGATTATTTTGAATGTAAAATCATTTTCCATCTTCCCTTTTACATATTACCTGTATTGTGAAATGTAGTTATATATGTAAATTTCTATTTATTTAAAATATTTTAAAATTGTCTCTCTTTCTATCATGGTATCAAAAGCAGCTTTGTATTGACAATTAAGACTGCAAATATATAATTTTTCTCCAGCATTTCTGGACTAACTTTTTAAGGAAGGGGAATTTCTGTGCTATAAAAGGAATGTTTTTTAGGGTTTTCATTCTGATGTGTAGGGTTTTATTCCTATGTGTAGGGTTTTCATTCCTATGCCTGGCACCTTTATGATGGCATCAGAACCCACAAAAACTGAAAACATTTTGTTTTATGTTGTGCAATTGCACCATGACCCTTAGTAGATCTCCTCCTCCAAGATTTGGGTGGGTTCCTTTGTTTAGAGCTAAGGAAAACATTCATGTGGGCTAATCACACTTTGGGATTATGTTATCCTCTGTAGTATGTTCCACTTTTGAGTTATACATGGCACTTTTTCTTTAGAATGGTACCTCTAATGAATAATTACAGCTTTCTCATAACCAGAATGTATACACAGGAAAAAAAAAACCCATCAGCTTAAAAACAAAAACAAGGACCTGCTGACAGTTTAGAATTATGTACTTACTGATCACAGTTACATTATGGCAGCTGTCCCATATACCCACTTGGTCAAAAATCTTTAGAATTATTCTCACTAAGGATAAGCAAATGTTTCTCTTAGTGTTTTTTGCTTCAGAAGCAAATACTTTTTCAGCAGCAACCCCTCCCCCCCAATGCTGAGTTATGCTGTTAACGATTATTTGCAAACACTGTCTCTCACATTTTGCTTTTCATAATATAAAATGGTAAAAATCAGTGTATAAATGCAATTTTAAATGCATCTGTGGTAATGGTATAAAAGCAAATCCACATTTAGAACCTTTTGACTTACAGCATTAAGCTAGTTTGCTCTGATATTTCCTTAGATGAAGAAACCTATTTTGAAAATTCATGTTCATTAATTAATAAAAACACATATGCAAATATGTTCTTAAAAGCACAGGAAATACTTCTTTGGATGTAGTGCCCACATCTGCAGCAAGAATATCTAGGACAGATGCATTTGGCTTTCTGTTTGTAGAATTTATATGTAAAATATGAAATATTTAAAAGCCTAAAAACTGACATTTTTAAGACTGCAAATTATGGGTTGAAGCCATACTTGGTCATATTTAGAAAAGATCCATTGAAATCAATTTTGTGATGACTCATTTAATCCCCGTTGTTAGCAATAGTTCAGTTCCATATATAACTAGGTATGGATATTTCTGCCAACACATCTGTAAAAGTTCAGATATTATAGACTGGTTGGTTTGAAACTTGATTTGTTACAAGTACCTGTGCCTTTATCCAAAACCCTGTGTGTGCTGCCCTATATATTAATTGATCTGACAACCAGCTTTGTTCAGTAGCCTGTGTGCTTTATTTAAAATAATTTTAAAAGACTGTACCACCACAATGCAATTGATATTTTACACAAACTTGTACAAAATGTGATGTTATAGTCAAATTAATATTTAGATTGACAGACGGATAAGATAGATCTTCCAGTCGGCTGTGTACTCATGGCCACAATTGCACACATGAAGCTCTCCTGTCTGCTGAAACTAATATTTTGGCTACCAGTAATAACCTTAATATAAACTAAAGTTCTTGAGTTCATGCATTCAGTTGTGTTGATATTTCTGCTTACCCTTGCAATATAGATTTTCTATATAGCTTTGATGCTGGATATTAAAGAAATGCATCTGTTTCTAATGTAGGTGTGATGAATGTCGGCTCTGCTATCATTTTGGTTGTTTGGACCCTCCCTTGAAAAAGTCTCCCAAACAGACGGGCTATGGGTGGATTTGCCAAGAGTGTGATTCTACGTCTTCCAAAGTAAGTTAATAAGTTCATGTGAGAATGCAGACAAACTGAGTGTGTTAGAAATATTTTACAGCGGCTCACCTTGATGGGGGGAGTTAAATAAAACAATTGGTTTTATTATATTGCCAATATTCTGTTGCATTTTATTAGTAGGAAGCCACACAGTTTATTGGTTTTGCAAAGCATAGTTTAATATTCCTGAAAATACTTCCTTGATGCATTTTGCTAGCTCAACGTTATTCAGAAAGTTCTGCTGTGTTCTGATATTTTTAAACTTTGCCATTACACTTTTTAAAAAGTCTGATGGAGAAAGTATGGAATATGCTTTGAATCAGATTATATATAAAGTCATTTTGATATAATAACCCTACATTTTATTAGTATCTTTTGTACTAATCTATAGAGGAATTTGAAGAAACAGTGGAAATTTCATTGAGAAAATATTATGAATATCCTGTATTATTGCTGACTATACTTGAGAACTTTTCATACATGTATTTATTTGTAAAGGTTAGACAGCCTAGTCTTCATATATATCTATTGTGTTATTAAAATGATCTAGGTGCTGAAAGATTTCACCAAAATGTTTACTGATGTATTTTTAACTGTGTTTAAATCAGTAGCTATAGAAAACCTACAAGGCAAAATATGGTTTTAAGCTTCTAATTAGTAATCAAATTATTCTTCCTAAAAAAGATACAGTTTTGGCATAGAATAATGAAGAGCTACTGTCCATTGCTACTGGAACTTCTGAGTCTTTTAAACAACACTTAAAGTGTTCAGTCTTTGGGTGAATTAAAATGGATGCAGAATTCCAAGAAGACCTTTAAACTAAAATGGCTTCTGTATAGGATGGATTAAAATGGTCTATTAGTCTTTGAGAAGTTAATGCCAACAGCAGTACTACTTGCAAACAACAGGTCTTTGATATGACAAAATCTAAGATGGTTAAATTGCATTGTTTTCAGCATGGGCCAGATTAATATTTGAATGAGTAAATAGTACAGAAAAAATAGTCTTATGAGGACTCCTTGTGGTTCTTCTAAGTTACATCAGGGTTTGTCATTTTAAGTCAGTGTTTTAGTCATCTTGAAAACACCTTGCAATGTTTTGTATTGCTGAATAACACCTTGCTTTAGGTAGAAGTTATTTTATAAGACCATAGTGATTCTGTTTTAAAATGCAATCTTGTTGAACAATTATACATCATTTACTTTTAATATCTTATGGGTGCTTGTGAATTTTGCAAAACCCTGGCCTCAATCCAGAGAACGTTATTATCACAGGCAAACAAATCTTACTGGGTGCCTAAAAGCCAGCTGTGCAGTGAGGATGAAGCAGAGCTAGTCTCCCTGTGTTCTACAGTCCAAGTCTGTGGATGGGACACAACTCCTTCCCAACTAACTGCTGTGCAGAGTTCTTGTTTTCCAGGACACATGGTTCTGTGATAATGTGAGAATAAAAATATTTGGCAACCTCTTGTGGCTTTTGAACTTCCCTGGATTGTGGCCTTAGCATTAACTTAGCTGCCTGTACTCTCAGTAAGTTGACTGGGCTGAACAGAAATCCACTGGGAAAGTTTTGATTGAGTCACTCTTTGTTTTATGAATGAATTGCAGACCTGAGTTGCCAGTGCCATCACTTTCTTTCCACTATTGAATCCTATTTTCTTTATACCTCAGCAATTCCATTTAGATGCTCAAGCAGGGAAATAGTGTTGACTGTGTAGTTCTTGCCAAAACAACATTTTTCAGCACAAAAGTCAGATTTGGAAAGTGTCAATTCCACATATAAGTTAATAAGGGAAAGTGGATGTAATTATCTTCTGTTTAAAGCAGTAGCCTAGTGTTATTATTAATATATATTAAGAAATCTTAATGTTTGACTAGTGTTGTAGGTAATATCCTTTTGAAGTGTATCATGCTTGCTTATTTAGGGTTCTATCAGAAAAAAAAGTAAAGGTTTACAATTTCTAGGGACTACCCTCATAGTAAATGCATCCATACAAGCATAAGTTCAATTGTATTCTTTAGTAGTAATAATGGTTCATGTATAATCTCTGCTCATAAACAGATATTCAGTATTAGTGGTTCAGTATTGCTTGTGCCAATACATTTCCAAGAAACGTGATTTTTCAGATAAGAGCAATTACTTTTGTATAGATACGCCAAGCACAATTAAAATCCATGTCTCACTGATATACTTGCATTTTGTTCATAATATGTCATACAACTCTCCTGCAGTCTTGTCAAGTTACTTCCCCACCAATGTAACATACTCCCAGATTACCCTGGCTGTCAAAAACTGACAGTGACTTTGCTTCAGGGCACAAGTGCAGTATCTTCTTTGTTAGTAATAGCGTCGTTTTTATGGAATTGGTGATACTTACCACAAAGGTCTGACAAGCTTTCTCATCTCAACAACTTTGCTGGGATTTTTTCACATTACATGACAAGTGAATATAGCTATTTTTATATCTATATTGCCTCCTTTCTTTCAATACTACTACTGTGATGTTACAGAGTTGCTGACATTCAGGGTTCTATCCTGAAAAAGAACACTCCCCCCATCCAAATCAGGTGGACAATTTATCATGCTTCAACCTTTCCCCTCAGTTACCTTTGCCACGGGCCATTCCATTCAGCCAGGTCCCTGACTTCAGAGAAAGAGATTTCAGAGAGGCAAGGGGCTGCTGTGGGAAGGAGATAGCAGTCTGTCAGCCCCCTTCTCTGCAAATTTGTCTGGGTTCAACTCATAGTGTCCTAAAATGGAAAAGCATAGCAAATTCAGATTGCAGAAGAGACCATAAATTGTATTGCTTACATCTTTCATACATTCTCTGTGAACTGCATAAAAACATTATAGTGATGACAAGCAGCCCAGTTGCTGACATGAGAAAACCAACACAGCCCAGCTCTTGCTGCTCTCACTCTCTGGATTTACAGATTTCACTTTTTTGTAAGGAAAGCAGAAACACAGGCACTCTAGAGGCCTGCTAAAATTTCTTTGCAAACCTACCAAGTGGCAGCCAATCACTGTATATGGTAGTTTGTTGTTATGTGCTGTCAAGACATCTCCAACTTATGCCAACCCTATGAATGAGTGTCATCCGAAATGTCCTGTCCTTGACAGACTTGCTCAGCTCTTATAAACTTATGGCTGTAACATCCTTTATGGAATCAATCCATCTCATAGTCACTCCTCCTCTTCTTCTGCCTTTGACTGTCCGTAGTATGATTGCCTTTTCTATTGTGTCTTGCCTTCTCGTGATGTGCCTGAAGTACATTCACTTCAGTTTCATCATTTTTGCTTCCAAGGAAAGTTCTAGCTTGATTTGATTTAGAACCCATCTGTTCATCTTTCTGTCTGTCCATGATATTTGCAAAGCTGTCCTCCAGCCCATATTTCAAATGTATCCATTTTTTTTTCCTTTCAGCTTTCTTCACTGTCCAACTTTCACACCTGTACATAGTGATCAGGAATACAGTAGTGTGGATGATCTTGGCCTTGAAGTGGAGGGATGGGGAAAAAACAAAAGACTTCCTTCAACTTGACGGTGCCCTTGTTTGCCCCAATATAAGACAGCACCAAAGAAGTCTGCACTCCTGGCTGCCCTTCTTAATTCTGCCTGCTGCCCACCAATACTATGGTTGACTGTTCATGGAGCAAAGCATCCCTGCAGGCCATGAGGTCAAAACATCAGTCTTACATTTGGGCATAAATTACCCCCATCTCTTTGGTGGACACTAAGGAATAGCCTACAAGGAAAGGGAAAATTGTGCTTCTGGGATTACAAATGCATGAAGGCAAATGAAAATGTTATTTTCAGTTTGTTGTAGATGTTAGAAAAGCAAATATAAAGAACGTTATATTTCTGAGTACTCACAAGTGCAATTTGCATATGACATATTATTATACTACATTAGTAGGACACATGTAATGGGCCCTCAGTTATGAATTGACAAAGTTTAAATATTATGTGAACTGACCTTTTAAAATATTTATTTTTTAAAAAATCTCATTTATTCTTTGATTATTGGTAATAGAAGAACTTAGAAATTCTTGAGTTGCTGGATTTTTTCCCATTATACTTTAAGTCTAACAACTAAATGGGCAGAAAACTAAGATAGGGAAACCTTTTTAAAGTGCACCAAATTTCTAGTTTCTCAAAACTATGCAAGTATGCAGTGACCTCACACTACACATTTTATATAATAGTTTTTTTTTTTAAAGAAGAATTTTGTTGTGGATTTTTACAGTCAAATGTTTTAATTTCAGTTTTATCATGTTTATTTGCTTATTTAGTTTTCATACCAAAGGTTAACTTTGCATATCCTAACTTGCACTTGCATAAAGGGGCCATATTCTTCTTAGCCTGAGAGGAAGAGAAACCAAAACCTTGTAGAAGTAAGGTCTCCATGGATTGGCTATGTGTACGAAACAGCTCCCTAGCTAAGGAGAGCTAAATTGTTCCAAGAGCTAAAATGTTCCAAGAAACGATGACATATTGGTTCCAAGTACTCACCTAAAATTCCCTGAGGACTATGTTTTCATGGACAATGTATTCTAAATATTTGTGCTGTAAAGTTGTGAAGTCTTTTTAAAATCTAGTTTATTATTTACAATATGTAACTTCACAGAATTTTCAACCTTCCAGGGCTGAAATTATTTTCAAGTTTAGAATGAACAAACTCTGGTAGAAACATGTTTGTACCATAACAACAAGTAACAGCACCCAGTTTGAAATATAACTTAAAAATGTATTTGACCAATTTTATTCATGGCTTATGAGGCGGTCAACCAACTGGCTATTTGTGAAGTTCAAAACTGTTTACCTTCTGACAGAAACAGTTGAAGTATTAACTGCACAGGAAGGATGTCTGTTAAGCGAGCAATATCTAATGACACCAGAAACAGTTCTTAAGCAGGTCCTTGGGACATTTATTGGAGAAAGGCAGCCATCTCCCTATCTCCATCCCCTCACACGGTGGTAAGCCAGCCATGAGGACTGTCCAGCCTATACTAGTTCCTGCCATCTCTGTGCATCAGTGAAGACCACCTGAGGATAAAGCATCCTAGACTGAGGAATGCTGAAATCAGGTTGTTGATTCCTAAAGTTATATTGGCATGTTTGATGTAATAAAAATTTGTCCTGTATTTTACTGTGATATTTTTTAATTTTAATGCTACCTTGAATGCCCTGAAAAAGGTGACCAAGGTTGTACAGATGAAACTGTAATAAAAATTACACTGTTTTTCCTTTTCATAGGACAATGAAAATTTTCTGTAAGTTCTATAAATGGGTGAATTTTATCACAGCTGCTCATAAGATGGTTTGATAAGAAACTATTACACCCATTGCACTTACCTCCATTAAAGTGATCTCCTTTTACTATATGACAAGCTTCATGGTGTTAGCTTCTGGTTAGGCAGAGGGGTCAGTTGCAATATCCTGACAAGTTACAGCCAGGTGTCTTCTTGCATAGGAAACCTAGCATGCTGTGGGCCATACAACACAGGAATACATATTGAAGGCCAACAGTTTCGTATTTGATCACTTTCTGCTGTTATTCCAGCTGGCTGTCTGTGGTGTGCAGCATAAGGAAGTCTGAGATTAGATAAGTTGAAGTCAACATTTCCCTGAGCAGTTTGATAGATTAATCCCGTATAACCCCCAAAAGCATTTTAAAAAATTGGCCCCGTGTTTCAAACTATTCCAAGGTACCAGGTGTAATAAAGCTTCTAACAATATGCATAGCCATAAAATAACATTCCATTTTTAACAAACAATGATTTTCTCCTAAATAAGAAGATTGCCACATGTCTAAGTTCTCAGATATAGAAGGTAAACTATTGATAAAAATGGTCTCTTTAGCCATTGATATGCAGTAGTCTCAGGGACCTGGTAATGTAATTTAGTTTTGCTGCCAGCAAATGCCCACTTTTTGGAAACCATGCTTAGTAGGTCTAGACTTGTGATCTATCTGATTTAATGCTAGTGAAAAATGTATAAGCCATTATGTTGTTGTCCTAGCAGTTGCATGTTCTCCTGGTGATTGCACAGGCACTAGTGGAAAAGCAAGTGCACACAGTGCAATGAAGTTACAATGAGTTGAGAAAACCCTTGTGCCACCGTTTGAACAGTGGCTTGTGCAAACAGAATTCAATCTTCAGATGTGTCTCTTGAGGAAGGGTAAGATTGTTCTTTCCACACGTATGTAAGTGGAATGTCACCACTGAGTCCAGCCCTTAGTGTTTCTGATATACTGGTCTTTGCCTGAAAGGAATCAACATTTTAATGAACATCTAGCAACCTTGGAACTGTGCATCTTGGGTCTAACCAAGTAAACCATGTGCAACTTGCATAAGACAACATTGAAATTCTTTCCCATTGGCTTTAATGCTCCAGATGTCTTAAGTCCTGATGAATGGCAATTACTTAACTGTACATAAAATAAATGGCTGGGGCACCAGAACAACTATATACAGAATAAAGGAAACCCTTGCCTCATCCTGAGATTAAATGAAATTTTACTTCGCAGGTGAGGATGCGCAGTGGAAGGAGCTTCATAAATTACTGTAACTTAATTGAGAAGGTCTTGAGGATACAATCCTTTTGACACATAGAATTAGATCATGTTGGATTTCTGTGGATTTAGGAATAAGGCAGCATCATGTCTGGCTTATTCTCACATTCCATGATAAGGTTCACAGCTGATTTTTAATGAAAGAATGTAGTCCTTGCACTGTATTGGTCTCTGGAATGAGGAGACAAGGCTCTTCTTCCAGCAGCCAAGCCAGGCAGCTTCAGGAGAAAAGCTTTTGTTTGACCTTAACACTTACCCCTTACCATGTCTCATGTTCCTGGCTAAGAACAATCATACGCTCCAAACAAGTACTTAAATGTCTTCCTGCCTCCAACACCTAGCATTTATTTTGGTTTTTGAGGTTTCATTTGTCAAAATTACTGTTCTCTTAGACATCTATTTTCTTTTCACATTGGTTGACAAGCAGTATTCTCATACTGTCATGAATCTACTACTATAAACTAATGCTTTCGTGAATAAGTGGTAAATGTTGCTATGGTATATTAGGATGGCGTTTGCATTCTTTTCCTATTACTCTTTCAAATAATCCTGCACAGTTTTAGGATCTTGATTTGCTTGGAGCTAATGGTGTGTGCTTACCTGTTTCCCATTGAAATCAATGCAGCTTAAAAGTGCTTAACTGCATCTTGTCCTGTGCTTTTCATTTCTACTAACTGCAAAATACCTTATGTGTTAAATATAGGGTGAAGTGGATGGAATGAAAAACAAGTATCAGGTAACTGTTAAAACATGTAAAATTAGATATTGTGCAATTTAAATGATAGTATTTGTTGGCATATTCCCTCTCTCTCTCTCTCTCTCTCTCTCCATATAGTCTTTAGCATGAATACATAAATAGCTTTTAAAATAATGCTAATGATTTCACATTATGGTAGTGCACTCATGCACACATACTGTATTAAGACACAGATCCTTAGGATAATTGTCTGTGTAGTGCAGTGTGGAACAAAGCGACAGTTGCATTGGGCTGGGATGAAACAAATGTTAACTTTTATTACCAGCACAGGCAGTTATATTTTGCAGTAGAAAGGAGCCTGCAGAATGGAACAAAAAGCAGCCTGTTGCTGGGAATAACTAGGAAGTGCTAACACTAGGCACAGATGAGCACAGACCTCTGTCTTCTTTACTTGTGTAAATTGTGAGAAGTGTGACTTAAAACTTTCCCGGTTGGAAGATATTGTTGGACCTCCAAATTGTGCCCTAAATCTTTTAGGGAAGCCCTCTGGAGTTCTTGGGAGACCTAACATAAGTATACACCAACTATGGCTGAATTCCTACCCTTCAACAGGTGCCTTTAGAAACTGAAATCTCAATATATTGAGTCAGGTTCCATTCCCATCACCAAACCAGATTGAATCCCCAAGTGCACTTGTAAGCAGCTCTTTTAACCAGATATAATACCCTTCACCAAAAAGGTGTATTATCATACTTTGTCAGTGTTAGCTGAGAGTTGTGTTCCTTCATATCTTGGGCTCCAAGGGTTGGGCCAACTACATTTAAATGTGGGCAGAAAATTGCTGCAGCACATCGGAAGTCTCTTTGAACCTGAAGATAGATATGAGACCCATTTGTGGTCATATGCCCTGGAGGTCATCTAGTCTAACCCTCTACTTCGTGCAGGATGTAACTGCAACTGCAACATCCCTGACAGATGCCTATTCCACCTCTGCTTCAACACCTCTAGTAAAGAGCCCAATATGTCCCAAGGCAGTTTGTTCCAGCCCTGAACAGCACTCTTACCTTTAAGAAGTCCCTCTTACTCTTGAGCCAAAATTTCCTATTAGTTACACCCATTGGTCTCCCCTTTAACCTTCTTTTCTTAGAGCTAAACATGTCCAGTTCTTTCAACTGTTCCTTGCAGGATTTTGCTTTCAGCTGAAACCAGTATTTTCACTGCCTAACTGTGCCAAGTGTTTTAGACCACAGTTCACATCAGCCCCAGCCAGCATGAACAATGTGTGCTGCAGTTGAAAAGCAGTGCTAGACTGCTTGAACACAGCAGGTTATGGTGCAGACCCTAAGCCTATCAAAATAGAACTGACCTTGAAATTGGACACCTAATAATTTCCCTTGGTAAGCACCTAAATGCAGAAAGGTGTTATGCTTTGCTCAGGGCCACGAGCCCTAATTATCCATGAAACTTAGTAAATGAGGCAAACTAGACTTAGCAATAGCTGGGTCAGTGTATTTAAAAGTACTTTATTAAATAAGCAGGAGTGGTATACTGTGATAAACAAATTTATCAGTAAGTAACATGTTTGAATTCTCACCATTTCCAAAATACTCTTTTCTGAATGAAACATCATTAAAGAATGTTCTGATTAAAACATTAGGGTTCAAGAACTGTTGCCTGACCTGAATGAGAGAATTAAGAAAGAACAAGTCCCTGTACACCAATGAAGCAATTCACAATTAAAATCACTTGTACCACCACCTGTCCATCAAATATTCTGGATTCTTTTGCAGAGCAAAGGAAAGAGCAAATTGTTGCATATCATATAGGGATATTGGCTGAATCAGCAAGTGAGAATTGCAAAAGCCTTTAAGTAGAGTAGTTAGAAAAATGAGTTGGCATTCTTTCCAGGTTTTGTTAATAAAGCAGACTGAACAAAGCAATACAGTAAGTAACCACTGCCATAAAGTGAATGCCAGATAAAACCAATGAGGGAAATTTGTGCAATTTGGGTTGTGTTTTTTCAGTATCAAAACAAAACTGAACCATTTCTATCTCCACCTCAAAATATAATCTATACAGTATTCTGATACTGTATTCTTGTGTTCGTCTCTCAAAGGAACTATATTGTTACAGTTTATATGATAAATGAAAATTAGCATTACACATTCTTAACTTCCAATTTCTGCCTTGTGAAATGGTTCTTGTTTTGAAAATGAACATAGTTTGAAACCCTGCAAAGATAACATTAGATTTTATCAGCAGGTTCATTTTGTCTTTCTGTATCTCTTGTTTTATTCTACTGATGTAATCAAGGGCTGCCTCTTCCCATGCAGAGGGTACAAGCTTCACTTGATTGGACCTACCATAGGCACATGGCATCTTCTGGCCTGGGTGTCCAAAGGTCTCTAGATCCTGATCTCTATCATAGACTGTCCTATTTCTAACATCCTGATCCAAGATCTTATTTTTGGTATTTACCATAAAACATATAATCAGCCTGCCAAATATTTTATTGTGCATGTTTCCAACTTGTTTCATCAGAAATATAGTACCTTTAACTATTGCACCATAGTTAAAGAAGCTGATCCTTCATGTTGGTAGCACCTTTATAGCTTTTCATTTCTCAAGTTTGATAGCTAGGAAATGCATTTAGATTGACTTCTTTAATCTAATTGGCTTGCTTATAAGATTCTTTAGGACAATGTGTGCTTAAATTAGTGTACTAATAATTAAGGTCTCATGCTGACAATAGAATTATAAGCAAATTCACAAACAAATTGTAGTTCACCATTACTACTTTCTATTAACATCCTGTAATTGCAATGTTTGGTTATTATTTACTTAATTACAAGAACCCATATTGACTTAATAGAATAAGACTATTGAAAAAAATAGATATGGCTCTTTTACTTAGAACCCTGCTCATAAACGTTAATAGCTGTAAAACTTTGCACTTTTTAAAATATATACAACATTAATG